AAGAAGAAGAAGAAGAAGAAGAAGAAGAAGAAGAAGAAGAAGAAGAAGAAGAAGAAGAAGAAGAAGAAGAAGAAATTATTATGAAGCTCAGCTGACAGTTGATGAGAGTGTACCCAACATGAGACATACATTTCTGCACCAGGTTCATGAAAATGGGCTGATTTTTTTGTCAAACAGAAAAATAAAAAAGACAGATTTAATCCATAAAATGTGTCTGAGGATGAGCGCCTCTGTTTTTTCACTGTATCCTGGGAGCCAGCCCTTTTGCAACAAACCCTGGTAGTCATGGTCTTCTGACATTATGAAGCCTGCTCATAAGTCATCTTGAATGTGGATAGTTAATGGTTTTCAGCAAAATACAGCACAATGTTTGCTCTTTTCCTTGTTGGTTCAGGGCAGCTTATTCTGGCATGTTACCCTGGTGGTGTTTGCACAAGGCTGGGTGGTGGAACCTTATGTTTCAAAAGCTGTCCCAACAGTGGCATGTTTTCCTCTGTCTTCAATGAGGTCACTCAGATCCTAGTTTGGACTAAAACTCTAATGTTTTCACATCATCTGCAAGAGTAATAGTCAAGGCTGCCCGTCAGTGCATTTACAGCAGAACATCTAGTGTGAAGTCTAATGATGTGCAGAACTTGTCCTACTCCAATTTCTTTAACTGCACAAGGCTCTTCCATTTCTCAACTTTTCTTTGTTTTGCTCAGTTTCTGTGCTTGGAATGTTTGTCCTACAATCTCCTGGAATTCCTGCTTTATCTGTGCTCATATATATTTTATTTCCACCTGAATAATTTTCCTTTTTAAGCTCATGAAATGTTTCATTTGTGTTATACATGGTGTGGTTTTTTTCCCCCTTAGGGGGGTGCTGTTTTGTTCTTTCTTCTTTCAGTTTTTCCAAGAGTTTTGTGATCTGCTTCTGTAGGATTTCTTCTTGAACTTGTTTAAACTGGAAGGGATTCTTGTTTACTCTGCAGCTCATTAACGGGTGTTTTACCCTAATATTTTTTCTTGATTATATGGGAATTTTGCATCAGAAGGTCATACAGATGTGCTTCCATCTTAATCCATGAGGCTGTCCATAGATTGATGTGAGTGGTCTGCACTGCCAGCTGAAGCCATGCTGATGTTCTTGGACTGTGCTGCTGCCAAGGGCTCTGAGGGTGTCTGTGGTCCAGTCTGTGGCAGAGGCTTTGCTGGTGTCTCTTCTCTGTACAGGAGACCATGCTGAGGCCCATGACGTGTATGGCCCAAGATTTTATTTGGATGTTCATAGTCCGTACTGTCACCAGAATCATTCTTCTTTTGGTGCTTTCCCACAATTTCCAAAAGGACTTGTATAAGAACCTCTCTCTCTCTCTCTCTCTCTCTCTCTCTCTCTCGCTTCTTGTTCTTTGTCAAGTCTTGCCAACTTTGCTTTAGCTTGCTCTTCCTGGAATTTTATAGGCTAGATATCCTGATCATTTTTGCCATTCTTCTTGTTTTCTAACAGTATTTTGACATTTGAAAACATCTACATCAGGTCCCAGATTCCTTACAGTAATTTAATGGCCTCCTTTATGTCTCAGAAGTTATATAGAAGTAAAAGAATGATAATACTGAGTTTGCATTTTCATATAAAGAATTTCAATACCAAAAGACATAAGAGAAATTGAACCCATAATTTTGCACTGGTTCTGTAAACTATTAATCACCCTCTCAGGCACACCTACTATCATGCAGAAAGGGGAAGTGGGTAAGTCCAGGGCTGTGTGTGGTGCAGGCAGCTGGTGAGACTCTCAAGCAGATTTTTGTTGGAGGCTGAAGTACTGTGGGAGGAGTACTGCCATACTGCTGACAGTAATAAACTGCCAGGTCTTCAGCCTGCACACTGCTGATGCTGAGAGTGAAATCTGTCCCAGATCCACTGCCTGTGAAGCGATCAGGAACCCCAGTTTGCCTAGTGGATGCCCAGTAGATCAGTAGTTTAGGGGATTGCCCTGGTTTCTGCTGGTACCAAACCAAGTAGTTTAAGCTGCCTAAAGTAAGTCTCTGACTGGATTTGCAGCTGATGGTGACCTTATCTCCTGCTGACACAGCCAGGGAGGATGAAGACTGGGTCATCATGATGTCTGCACACTTACCTGCAATCAGGAATATGCAATGAACATGCATATGAACACAAACACAGAATATAAAAACAGTTGAAATTTATCATTTAATTGCTTTGTACTACTATCTTATCAGAGTATTATTATGTAAGAAATATTGAGCCTAACACACTCAAATTTCTTTTCTGCAAAGAAGTGACTTCGCAAAGATTGTAATAATTTGTGTTTCATACCGGACACCCAAAGCAGCAGGGATATGAGGACCTGGGTCTGTGACTTCATCTTGCTCCCCCTCCTGTCTGATGCAGTTCAGTTCTCACTGCAAAGGCCTGGTTTATAAATTCTCAGCAGCTGGGCTTGGCTGTGAGGGTGCCATGCAAAGCAATCAGAAAATACATAAGCAAATGCCTGTGCAGTGTCTGTGAGTATAGCTGGTGTCAATCAACAGGCAAAAATACTGTTAGAGGGAGCATAAGCAATCACAGAAAAAGATTGCCTTGCAGCTCTCAAACAGAAAAGTACTATGTGTTTTAAGAGTAATTTTGAAGGGGGCACAGCCATCCTAAACTACTTAATGATTTTATGGAGACCAATAGAACACAACATCAGCTCTTGTTGTTATCCAAAGGGTGAAAAAAAAGTTTGGCTATGAATAAAAAGTCAATAGCAATAATAGAACTCTCAGAATGTGCCAGGACTTCATATTATTAAAATCTGAAAGTATATATAAGAAGTAAATTATGAAGCCAAAATTATATGTAAAGTATAAAAGAAAATTAAATCATGAAATATCATGGCAAGGAGTGGAGATTCTGATCTGAACTCCCAGAATTGGAAAAACAAAAGCAGAAACCTCACGAGTTTGAGGCCAGCCTGGGGTACATGCCAGCTTCTAAGCCAATCTAATCTATACATATAGACAATCTCTCAACAATGTGTATCAGAAATCCACGAGTTACAAGGCAACTCTTGACATAATCTACCCAACACAAATATCTTATCTGATGTCAATATTTCACCATGAAAACACAAATATTATTGGAAAATAAGTATTCATTTAGGTAATACACATTCTCTTCTATTTTAAATTACATATATAATTTTTTATAATTATTTATTTTATGTATATGAATACTCTGTTTTCATGCACACCAGAAGAGGAAATTAGATTCCATTGCAGATGGTTATGAGCCACCATGTGGTTGCTGGGAATTGAACTCAGGACCTCTGGAAGAGCAGTCGGTGTTCATAACTGCTGAGCAATCTCTCCGGGCCTACATATATAATTTTATACATCTACTTTTCAGGTATAAAATGTTGTCCCTACCCGTGAGAGTTCAACGGGTTCCTAAAGAAGGGGGGTGGAAAGAATGAGGTACAACAAGAGATGCAAGGAATGAAGCCTAGTCTGTTTGTCTGATCAAGGCCTCGTTTACTAGAAATTTTTACCCAACTTATATAGGGAGAAGGCAGGAAAGGGGGAAGGCTAAATTACTGCTGCAGGAGATAGGAAGAGTGCTTTCATGGCTTGAATATTGCACCTGCAAGATACCATAAGGATGTTTTCTTAAGATATCTCACAGATGCTCTAAAACCAACAGACAGATATCCTCACAAATCTATCACCCATGATTTAGGGTCCTAGGTAACTCTGTCACTAAATAGCTTTAGGTCTCCACTAAATGACCTTTTTCTCCACTAAATAGCGTTGGCTCACTATTTGGCTTTGGCTTCAGTAAATAGCTTTGGCTCCCAGCAATCTCTCCAGGCCTACATATATAATTTTATACATCTACTTTTCAGGTATAAAATGTTAAATAATTTCTGATAAGCACATGCAGATTTCTTTTGTAAATCACTAACACAACATCATAGAGAGAGGTAGACCAGATGCAGATAGAGGAAGTTCCTAATCTCAAGATCTAGACAATGACAGACAAGGAGCTCTGCTCCTGTTGGTGTCTCTCAAGTTGTGATATGCCTTTGATCATCACTAAACTTTATACTTCTTATAGTGACAGCAGCACTGAGCTCAGACAGTGCCCTCATGATGTTTACAACTGTTCTTTCAGACTGAGAAAATGGGGACAAGGATCTTACGAATCCAAAGATTCCATGGGCTTCTTACAGTATGCATTGGGAGAGCATGGGGTCTAAAGAGATAAAATTTAAGGGAGTAAATTAACTCACATCTACTTAAAAGGTTAGCTCACCTACACTATAATGTTTTAAACCATTGTCTTAACTGACATGTGTTTCTCTGTAAGTTTTTTAGGTAAACTCCCTTAAAATTTTTTTCAGTTAATTCTTTTTACTTTATCTCTAATAAATATTTTTTTAAGTTAAAGCTGGAAACAACCCAGATGCCCCTCAACTGAAGAATGGATGCAGAAATTGTGGTACATCTACACAATGGAATGTTACTCAGCAATGAAAAATAAGGAAATCATGAAATTTGCATGTAAATGGAGGGACCTGGAAAGGATCATCCTGAGTGAGTTGTCCAGAAGCAAAAAGACACACATGGTATATACTCACTCATATAGACATACAACATAGGACAAACCCACTAAAATCTGTGCATCTAAAGAAACTAAGCAAGAGAGAGGACCCTAACTAAAATGGTCAATCCCCATCCTGAATGGCAAAGAAGATTTACATCAGAAGAAGAAGAAAACAGGAAACAACCTAGGAACCTTCTACAAAGGGCTTCTTCTGAAAGCCAGAAGAAGAAAACAGGAAACAAACAAGGAACCTACCACAGAGGGCCTCTGAAAGCCTCTGCCCTGCAGACTATCAAAGCAGATGCTGAGCCTGATGGCCAACTGTTGAGCAGAGTGAATGGAATTTTATGTAAGAAGTGAGAAATAGTAAGAGCTGGAGGGGATGGGAACTCCACAAGGAGAGCAACAGAACAAGAATATTTGAACACAGGGAACTTCCCAGAAACTCATACTCCAACCAAAGACTATTTATGGAGATAACCTAGAACCCCTGCACAGATGTAGCCCATGGCAGTTCAGTGTCCAAGTGGGTTACATAGTAATGGGAAGAGGGACTGCCTCTGACATAATCTGATTGGCCTGCTCTTTGATCACCTCCCCCTGAAGGGGGAGCAGCCTTACCAGGCCACAGTAGAGGACAATGCAGCCACTTTTTTTTTTTTAATAGTAATAAATGCACTTGTTTTAATCTTTATTTTTTGTTATTTTTTTAAATTTTTTATTATTTACACTTTATTCATTTTGTATCCCCCCATAAGCCCCTCCCTCCTCCCCTCCCGATCCCACCCTCCCTCCCCTTTCTGTATGCATGCCACTCCCCAAGTCCACTGATAGGGGAGGTTCTCCTCTCCTTTCTGATCTTAGTCTATCAGTTCTCATCAAAATTAGCTGCATTGTCCTCTTCTGTGGCCTGTTAAGGCTGCTCCCCCCTCAGGGGGAGGTGATCAAAGAGCAGGCCAATCAGATTATGTCAGAGGCAGTCCCTCTTCCCATTACTATGTAACCCACTTGGACACTGAACTGCCATGGGCTACATCTGTGCATGAGTCTTTCGGAAGTTCCCTGTGTTCAAATTATCTTGTTCTGTTGCTCTCCTTGTGGAGTTCCCATCCCCTCCAGCTCTTACTATTTCCCACTTCTTACATAAAATTCCATTCACTCTGCCCATCAGTTGGCCATCAGGTTCAGCATCTGCTTTGACAGTCTATACTGCAGAGGCTTTCAGAGGCCCTCTGTGGCAGGTTTCAAGGTTGTTTCCTGTTTTCTTCTGACTTTCAGAGGCCCTCTGTAGCAGGTTCCTAGGTTGTTTCCTATTTTCTTTTTCTTCTGATGTCCATCCTTTTTGCCTTTCAGGATGGGGATTGAACATTTTAGTTAGGGTCCTCTCTTTTGCTTAGTTTGTTTAGATGTACAGATTTTAGTGGGTTTATTCTATGTTGTATGTTTATATGAGTGAGTATATACCATGCATGTCTTTTTGCTTCTGGGACAACTCACTCAAGATGATCCTTTCCAGGTCCCACCATTTACATGCAAATTTTATGATTTCCTTATTTTTCATTGCTGAGTAATACTCCATTGTATAGATGTACCACAGTTTCTGCATCCATTCTTCAGTTGAGGGGCATCTGGGTTGTTTCCAGCTTCTGGCTATTACAAATAAAGCAATGCAGCCACTTTTGATGAGAACTGGTAGACTAAGATCAGAAAGGAGAGGAGAACCTCCCCTATCAGTGGACTTGTGGAGGGGCATGCATGAAGAAAGGGGAGGGAGGGTGGGATCGGGAGGTGAGGAGGGAGGGGCTTATGGGGGATACACAATGAATAAAGTGTAATTAATACAAAATTAACAAAAAAGCTTTGACTTTAATATTTTAAAATGTAACCTGGTCTGCATTATGTAACCATTTCAAGAGCCTTGAGGATAATATACCTTGTGATAATAAAAGGAGGATTTTCAGTTCTTACTTACAGCCATTAAAAGAAAGTATGAGTTGGAGGATAATCAAACCCAGTTTAATGACCCACTCATTGTGATTTGGCCAAGTGGGTCCAACATTGACTTTGGGAACATCACTTTGGATGATGTGCTTAACTTGCTTAATGAAGCAAGTTTTTTCACTAGTTTAGGTACCCAGCCTTGATCACTATTCCATGTTGATGCCTCTCAGACTTTTCCACTCTGGATGGCATTTATAGATCATTGAAATAAAGACATTATAGTGAAGACAGTAACAGGAGGGTCAGATGGGGAAAGGGAAGGAAGATAACGTTGAGGGAATGAATGCAAGAAATTAAAGCTGGAATTTGGGCACGTGAAGGATGATGTGGTAGGGAAAACTAGAGCAATAAAAACTTTCTATAATATATGAATTCAATCTGTTACAGCCATATGTTCACTGGAAGTGGCAAGAGTCATGACACCAGCATAGCTACTTGACACAGTGCCAGCAAATTAGAGCAGATTGTTGCCATCACTGACTTTCTAACTCTATCTTTTGGATTTGGTGTCTGCATGTTGCATTCTTAGGGACTTTCAGCATTATGGTTCATTTTATGTCTTTTACTGAGAAAAATGATGCATGAGTCTTTTTAGGAAAATCCTAAAATTATCCTTAAGTGACCACTATTTGGAAGCCTTCCTTATGTCCTGGAGACCATTAAGCACAGATATGTACATAGCTTTGTGAGGCCATTACTACAGGAACCTACTTGGGATATCTGCTTCTGAGCAAACTAAAATAGTATAGTTCGCACAGGGTAAAATAAAAATTTACAAACTCTGACT